GTTCAATTCATGTTAATGTGGATTTAAAAACATTTCAATTGGTGGAAAAAATTGCAGGAGGAAATATAAAAAAGGTCTAATCAACCAAAACTTTCGCGACCCCCATGCAGTACCTCCGTGGACCCCCTAGGGGTCACGGACCCCCTGTTGAAGACCTCTGCAGTAACAGATAAAAACCTTTAGATAAATCAAACATTACCGCCACATATCTGACTCAATAACCATTAAAACAACTATTTTCATTAATCTCAGACGGAACTATTCACTGACTGGATTATATTAAACTGAACTTCCAATTTTCACCACTGTTCGGCGCCAAGTAACCTTTCCTCTGATCACGGAGCAGCCGGCTTGCTCGGACTCACAATGAATCCTGGGTAAACCAAGGATAGCGAGGATACTTCGGACCCGTCCTTCAAATCGGGCAAAAAGAAGGACGCATTTTAAGGCCGCATAATGAGGACTCCTGGAATCCAACCAGACCTCGGCGCCGCGCTATGACGTCATCGTCCTTCGAATCTGGCCTTCTAAGGGCGCGTCCTAGGATTTCAAACAGAGCCTTGATGTCCCAGGGATGTGAAGCTGACTGACTTGAAATTCTGTCCCCTTGTGTCGGGAGGCGCATTGAAGCCAGAGAGGCGGACATGGAGGATGGAACCATTTTCACTGCGCTGCTGATCGATTTCTGGCTAAAAACAATATTCATGTCAATGTTGTAACATCCACTTTAATCAGCAGCTGCTGTTTACTAAATTGTAACATAAATAAATAGAAGAGGTCTTTTTACACTGTGTTGTGTTGTTTTGTGAAATGCCAAGATTATCGGGGGGGGGTTACCAACTTCTGTCCCTTCAGCCTGACAGAAATAAAAGTCAGTCACCAAACACAGTTTTCCAACTCATAGTGAGTATTTATCATTTTTCATCGGTGATATAAGAGGATGAAAACTGGCTGATAGCAGGAGACAAAAATGAAAACAGATGAGAGGAGACTTTCTGGTTAATCTAGTTCTAATGTAAAATATCACAGATTACTGGATTAAAGACATTTCTAGTATTCATGCTATCACACATAACAGTCCTCCTCCATAATATGGGATTAAATTAATTCACCTGCAGGTCTTTAACTGAGTTTATTCCTCTTCATTATTTGCCAGAGTTATCAGAGGGAAACCTGATAATTTAGTCACCTGATATAATTCATCTCCCCCTCTGATGATCTTTATGAAATATATTTTCTGTTTAAATGTTTATCTAACAATTTACAAATATTCAAAATAAAGTTTAAACCAAATGTCTGGAGCAAAGCTACTGCAGACGTTTGGAATTGAGAATTAAAATACATTTCATAAAGATCATCAAACCAACAGTCATAATTATTTAACTATTGTGGATTTCAAATTTTAAAATAAATGTTTCCAACATAATATAGAAAAAACACAGTTTCAGAATTCACAGGATTTTTATTTTATTTTATTATCCCATGATAATGGAGGGAATGGATTATATCAGGTGGCTAAAACATTAGATTCCCCTCTGATAACTCTGGAAAATAATGATCAAATGTCACCAAATCAACAGAGTTTGTTGCTGATGAAGAGAAGAATAAACTCAGTTAAAGACGTGCAGGTGAATTAATTTAATCCCAGTTATGGAGGAGGACTGTTATGTGTGACAGCATGAATACTAGAAATATCCTTAATCCAGTAATCTGTCATATTTTCCATTAGAACGGGATTTAGCAGAAAGTCTCCTCTCTCATCTTCACCCTCAGGGCCACTGATCTAGAATCCTAGATCCTCCCCTGGGTTCTGATCAGAACCAGAACCAGTTTCTGATCAGAACCTGGTTCTGATTCTGAGCAGGATCCAGTTTCTGACCAGAACCAGAACCATCTTTGTCTCTATAGTCGTGTTTCTGCACGTGCTTCTCTGAAGCCATTATGAAAGGCTGAGCAGACAGAACAGGAAGTGAAGCTGATCGTCATCAGCGTCATCAGATCCGAGCGTCGCCATTGGTGCAGTGAGAGCTGCTGGCCGCTGATTGGTCGGCCTGCCGGTCTTATATAAAAGGCTCCCTGCAGCAGCTCGTTCCTGATCTCCGCTTCATCCGGACTCCTCCACCTCTGCTCCTCCACATTCCTCCTCCACCTCCTGCCGGCAGAGCTGGTGAGTCTGCTCCTCTTTGTTCTCCTGTGGAGCTCCGCTCCCTGAGGCTGCGCTTTATTTCACCCTCTGGTTGATTTATTCCGCTTTATTTGACTTTATTCAGACTTTATGTTTTCAGACTGATAATTTAACCCAGAAAGTAGAAAATGATTCAGATGAAGTTAAAATGTGGCTGAAGATGCGGTGAAAATGACGGTTAGTTGATCAGCAGCGTGGTTCACTGCGGTGCGGTGCGGTGCGGTGCGGGAGGGGGAGGGGCTTCTGGAAGCTTCTCTAGTTTCTCTGTAATGGCGGCTCTGCTTCCTGCCGCCTGAGAGCAGCTCTACAGCTTTGTTTGATCTATTTTATGGTTTTATGTTTCTATTTTCATTTAATTTAATCTGTTGAATAAAATGCATATTTTATGTTTTTATTTTAATGTTAATTAATTATTTTACTGTATAAAATGTACTGAGTGTTTTAACGTCCGTCTCCTCTGCGCCGCCAGTCACCATGTCTAAGGGACCAGCAGTGGGAATCGACCTGGGAACCACCTACTCCTGTGTGGGGGTGTTCCAGCATGGGAAGGTGGAAATCATCGCCAACGACCAGGGAAACCGCACCACCCCCAGCTACGTGGCCTTCACCGACACCGAGCGGCTGATCGGAGACGCCGCCAAGAACCAGGTGGCCATGAACCCCACCAACACGGTGTTCGGTAAGAAGCTGCGTCTGCTAGAATGTTCTAGTTAGTCATGCTGAGGGCCGGCTTCTCTCTGCATGATGGAAACATTCTTTTCCCTTTTTTTTTTAAACAGATGCCAAGCGCCTGATTGGCCGGAGGTTTGACGACGCCGTTGTTCAGTCGGACATGAAGCACTGGCCCTTCAACGTCATCAACGACAACACCCGCCCCAAGGTTCAGGTGGAATACAAGGGCGAGTCGAAGACCTTCTACCCGGAGGAGATCTCCTCCATGGTGCTGACCAAGATGAAGGAGATCGCTGAGGCTTACCTGGGGAAGGTAAGATGGTGGCCGATCATCTGAGGGGAAATGTCTGGAAGTCGGAACGCTGACGGCCATCTTTGAACCTTTCAGACTGTCAACAACGCTGTGATCACAGTCCCCGCCTACTTCAACGACTCCCAGCGCCAGGCCACCAAGGATGCCGGTACCATCTCTGGCCTCAACGTTCTGCGTATCATCAACGAACCGACTGCTGCCGCCATCGCCTACGGGCTGGACAAAAAGGTGAGCAGCGGTCAGACGGCCATGTTTGATGACTAACGAGCTCGTTACTCAGGCCTCTGTGGTTGGTTGCAGGTCGGCTCAGAGAGGAACGTGCTGATCTTTGACCTCGGCGGCGGCACCTTTGACGTCTCCATCCTCACCATCGAAGACGGCATCTTTGAGGTCAAGTCCACGGCTGGCGACACTCACCTCGGAGGAGAAGACTTCGACAACCGCATGGTGAACCATTTCATTGCAGAGTTCAAGCGAAAGTATAAGAAGGACATCAGCGACAACAAGAGGGCCGTCCGCCGCCTGCGCACCGCCTGTGAGAGGGCGAAGCGCACGCTGTCTTCCAGCACCCAGGCCAGCATCGAGATCGACTCTCTGTTTGAGGGCATTGACTTCTACACCTCCATCACCAGAGCTCGCTTTGAAGAGCTCAATGCCGACCTGTTCCGTGGAACCCTGGACCCCGTGGAGAAGTCCCTCCGTGACGCCAAGATGGACAAAGGCCAGATCCACGACATCGTTCTGGTTGGCGGCTCCACCCGCATCCCCAAGATCCAGAAGCTGCTCCAGGACTTCTTCAACGGAAAGGAGCTGAACAAGAGCATCAACCCGGACGAGGCGGTGGCGTACGGAGCAGGTGAGGACATCAGGTGACCCGCTGACCTTCCTCCTCCGCCCTCAGATCTAACAGCTGTTTTTGGTCAACAGCGGTTCAGGCGGCCATCTTGTCTGGAGATAAATCTGAGAACGTGCAGGACCTGCTCCTCCTGGACGTCACCCCCCTGTCCCTGGGTATCGAGACCGCCGGCGGCGTCATGACTGTCCTGATCAAGAGGAACACCACCATTCCCACCAAGCAGACCCAGACCTTCACCACCTACTCTGACAACCAGCCCGGCGTGCTCATCCAGGTCGGTACCGGTTCTACTCTGGGTTCTGTAGGATCAGCCAGACGTCCTCTGACCCGTTTCCCTTCTGTCTGCAGGTCTATGAGGGAGAGCGCGCCATGACCAAGGACAACAACCTGCTGGGAAGGTTTGAGCTGACGGGAATCCCTCCCGCTCCCCGCGGCGTTCCACAGATCGAGGTGACCTTCGACATCGACGCCAACGGCATCATGAACGTCTCTGCTGTCGACAAGAGCACCGGCAAGGAGAACAAGATCACCATCACCAACGACAAAGGTAGGTCCTGACCCGACCGCAGCGGCCGCCAGAACGCCGCTCTGCACAGCTTCTGACCGCCGTCTGCTTCCAGGGCGCCTCAGCAAGGAAGACATCGAGCGCATGGTCCAGGAGGCCGAGAAGTACAAGGCGGAAGACGACGTGCAGCGCGACAAGGTGTCCGCTAAGAACGGGCTGGAGTCGTACGCCTTCAACATGAAGTCCACCGTCGAAGACGAGAAGCTGGCCGGGAAGATCAGCGACGACGACAAGCAGAAGATCTTAGACAAGTGCAACGAGGTCATCAGCTGGTTGGATAAGAACCAGGTAAATATTACATGCCCCGCCCCCTATCACCCCCCCAGGCCTGAACCCCTCTAACCCAGAGTCTCCCCTCAGACCGCTGAGAAGGACGAGTATGAGCACCAGCAGAAGGAGCTGGAGAAGGTGTGCAACCCCATCATCACCAAGCTGTACCAGAGCGCCGGCGGCATGCCGGAGGGAATGCCCGGCGGCTTCCCTGGAGCCGGCGGCGCCGCTCCCGGTGGCGGATCCTCCGGCCCAACCATCGAGGAGGTCGACTAAACCGCCTCCCGGGACGCTAAGACCGAAGCCCTCTTCAGCGGAGCTCCCAACCAGCTGGAGAGCGACTCGTGGAAACTAGTCCACACAGCAAACCTTGATCTGACACGTCTGGTTTTATAGGCTGATGTCACTTCCTTCAAAATAAAAATTTGCAACTGTTGAATGTGGTCCGTTTCCCTCTGTTGGTGTGAATCATTGTTTCCACCAGATGGCGCCGTTTCATTGCACCTCAGTAATCTGATGAACTGAGGATTAATCTGATCAAATCCTTTCTGCCTTCACTGCTTTGCAGGAAGGAGATTAAAACATCCAGTTTGATCCTTCATTCAATCAGCTGTAGCTTTAAGAACCAACTCCCAGTCCCTCAGCTCCCGTCTGACTGGGAGGAGCTGATGGGAACCATTCCAATGAGCAGGTTCTACCAGTTTAACTGTCAGACTCTTAAGAAGGTTTCTCTGGGTCTGAGCAAACCTTCACAGCAGCCGAGGCTGATTTACCGCTCAGGGATAGATCTAATAACGGCCTCATTTAACTCTGACACCAGTCCAATAAACTGGTCCAGTTAGATTTAAAATGGTGGAAAGTTTGGATCATCTTAGAGCTGAGTTCTGATTGGATCAGAACATTTCTCCTTCCTGAAGGTGAAAATGAAACGGTAGTTCCCCTGTTTTGCCAGCAGGTGGTGTAGAAGCGCTGGGATTGGAACCAGCATCCAGCCTTTGGGGCCTTAAAGTGAAGCCTGTAAAAACAGCTTAGTCTGATTAAAGCTCTTTAAATGAGGGAAATGAATCTATAGAGGAAGGAGCTGCTGGTCCAGAACCACCAGAGTTCCTCTGAATGTTTCAGCCTTATGATGGATGTTAGAGGAATGAATCATTTCCTTTAGAGGCCAAAGGTCATTCTGAATGATGCATTCATGAACCTCTCGCTGCGTAGGATCACTGAGTCGCCTTGTTTCAGCTGAAATGCTGATTCATTGCAGTGAGAAGCTGCTGGATGTTCTGGGCGTCCCTCAGGCTTCCTGTTGATGGCCGTCAGAAATGCAGCAGACTAAATGTTTCCCTGGCTTTGTTTGGACGCGTGGATCTTTGTGAGCAGTAATAGGCGGCGCTGCTCTGGGGGGGGGATGACACCTCGCTGCATGCTGTCTGTAATGCATTCTCCTACTTGTTTGAGGCCGAGTCATTAGAGAAACATCCCTTACCCTTTTAGCCTCATCGCAGTGAAGGGCCCTACACCGCAGCAACTCTACCCCCAACGCACAACAACATGGAGGAGAATTAGGCTCTCCTCGTCGCCACGGTAAGCACAACAAAGAGCCTCTCTGCCATTTATTTTAATGAGATCTTTTCATCGCCATCAGAAAGAGCATTTTACTCTGCAATTTTCCAGCCATTTTATAAGCTGAAAATTGCCATTTGTGAACCATTCCCTCGCTAGTAGCTCTCAAATACTCTCATTAGTCAGGCTGAGGTGCAAATAGAAAAAAATGATCTGTAAATACGGGCTCATAATCCCCTTCATGTGTTTCAATTTCAGAAGTCTGTGATAAGGCCTCGCTCTCTTTGTTTGAGGACGCCATTATTTTAATAATGGTTTAATGCCCCTTGCTCCTTTGACCTCCCCCTCTTAGACCTATGTGGCATTCAGGTGTATGGAAAGGTTCATTTGGACTTCAAATGCTGCTAAAATGTCAATTACCAACAACAAATGATGCCTAATGCAGCCCAGGATGAAATAAAAGGCTCTCTGGAATATAAAGCAGATTTCTGGGCGTGGAGAACAGATGATAAACATCTGATCTTCGTTTGTCGCTTTATGGAAGCAAACAGACTTCAGCCAATAGTTCAGATGATCCTTCCTGAATCTGTGAGGAGTATATCTGTAACAAAGTACAAATACTTCATTACTGTACTTAAGTACACTTTTTAGGTATCTATACTTTATTACTTATTTTTCTTCCTACTTCTNTAGAGGGAGGGACTCTGTCCTCTCTGTCCTCACACTGATCCATGCTGCTCACTTCACATCAGCTCACACACCTGCAGCTGCAGCCAAGAACACAGGATGAAGCTACATTAACATTAACTGATTCCCACCTGTAGGATACAGTAGCTGTTTACCATCTATTACAGAAATACAGATGTGATGCTAAACTATATCTAACATTAAAAACTAAAACAAAGGACTGATGAAATTAGTCAGAAATTAAACCATTTTTAACTGAATGAAATCATTATAGTTTGAAATTAAAGTAAATGAAATTCAGAATCTAAGATCTTAAATATTATTCAGTCACACTTCTTCCTGCATTATGGGCGTACTACGGTGGTGCAGTGTTAGGGCCAACGACCCATGTACGGAGGCCTTAGTCCTCGACGAGGCCTCGAATCCGGCCTGTGGTCCTTTGCCGCATGCCTCCCCCCCTCTCACCTAACTCCTTTCCTGTCAGCCCACTGTGCAAAAAACGAGTTAATAGTGCCGTAAAAAATACTTCTTGGTGCATCAGAAACTTTGAACATCTGGACCTGATGTGTTTCTAAACCATCGAACTAAACAGATGGATTTTATGCTCTATTAAAGCTTCCGATAGTTTAATACAAGGAAACGTATATTTTAATGAAATTTATATTTAATAATATTGGTGATCTTATTATGAAAGGCTCCACAGGAAGCAGCTGCTCTGCTTGTCATTTGACATTAAAGGAGAAACTGAAAGTTTGATCTAAAGACCTGAAAAAGAAGCAATTTTTAAAGTGAAGAACAAACATCATCTGCTCCTCATGTTGACTGTTTCAGAAAATAATCTAGTAATCCTGGAGATTTTCCTTCATTTATAGTTAAATTAAAACTTTGGTCTGGAATAAAAGCAGA